GATTTCTCAGAAGGATTACCAGCGAAAGCCAAATATTATTAGTATTTGAAAATTTGGACTAAAGCTGTTTTTACACCAATGACCAGAGATTTTTAGATTTCTTAGAAGGATTGTATTACAACTATTTAATACCAGTGAAAGCCAAACAGTATTAGTATTTGAAAGTTTGGACCTTCCTTCTAGCACAGGATGAATTCCTTACCACAGTGGACTTAATAATCTAATTACATCTATTAGAAAGATTTGATTAGAACCAGCTCTTACCAGTAAACTCCCAAGGATTATTAATGTCATTTGATTTGTTTTTCAGTGTTTGATTCTCTGTATCATTGTAATGTTTTTCCTCATGTACAGCACTTTGAGTGTGTTGTTACTGAAAAGCACTATATAAATAAACTTAACTTGACTTGACTTGAATTGAATTGGGGTTGTCCACTTTTTTACAAACAGAAATATGCAAAGTGTTGCATGTGTCTTTATTGCCCTTTGTCCTGATATCCCTTAACAGAATCCAGTGAAAGCCAGAGCTTTCAGAAGTAAGTGGTAAACAGAATATGCCTGTCTCAGTATAAATCCAGCTGTTCTGTAAAGACTTCAGAGGTTTGTTCAAAAACATTGGTGAACATGAAGAATCCTCAAAACCCAAAAGACACACTAGACAGGTCAGGGAGAAGGTTTTAAAGACTTTAAAGCACCATCTGGTCTACTAACACATTGGGGTCCTACAAAATGAGCTGGAGAGTGTTACTGGAGAGAGGGGCTTTGACACAGTTACATCAGATATGACCTTGGATTTCTTTCTATCTATCTATCTATCTATCTATCTATCTATCTATCTATCTATCTATCTATCTATCTATCTATCTATCTATCTATCTATCTATCTATCTATCTATCTATCTATCTATCTATCTATATCTATCCATCCATCCATCCATCCATCCATCCATCCATCCATCCATCCATCCATCCATCTATCTATCTATCTAGAACTAGAACACTGTGATTATAATGTGACAAAATATCAAAGGTTACATCTATACATAATTACCAACAAAAACAAAACACATCAAAACCCTGTTTATGCCTATGCTATCCTGCTTTTAAAATAATTAAAGTTTGGTGGATTGCTCTTTGTAATTTAAACCCCTTACACAACACACTTTCACAGAAAAAAGAGATGTGCTCGTAATTAACATGCAACGTGTCTGTAGACTCCATCTGCCCTCCTCTCCATATTTATTAAATGGCCTTTGGTTTGTGCATTCAGCCCCATTATACACTCTCTTCTGCTCATGACTTCATCAAACGCCCCATGAGCAACACATGTCTAGCTTCGGGGTTGTGAAACAGACACTGTTGAAAATTAGCTTTGGTACCTTGCATATTAATTAGTTCCAGTAAAAAAACAAGGACAAACCATGGATCGTGTTTTTTGACATCAAGGATGTAGCATTTTGCCATGCCTAATTTAATACACAAAACCTTTTTTTTCCTATTCCCATAGATAAGACACATAAATTTTTTTGTGTTAAACTGATAGGAAAAAGTGTAAAGCAAATTGTTCCCTGTCTTTGCCACTGAATAAAATGGCTCATTTTGACATGTCACCTTCACAAGCCAGATCAATGAGTTCTACAAACACCTCAAGGTCTGCCATGCTTAAAATCCCAAATCTGAAACAGAATATTTTCATGAAATTTAGTTTTTTCTCAGGCAATTTTGCTATGGCCAAAAGTCTTCAATATCTGTTCTAGTAAGTCTTGCTCTGTCAGACTAAATTGTACCTGTTGTAAATAAGCTAAGATGATCAAAATCTTGCCTCTTTGCTAAATGTCAATATAATGAGAACATTTTTGGAGATTTTTGTTTCAAGTTTGTTAAATTCAGAAGTTTAGTTTTTGGTAGAATTGTCTTTTAAAATGTATGACGTTTGGGTGTTTAGTGTACTTCAACAAACTTCTCACAATGCTGAAACTGAGTCAGCTCTATATGCCTCCTACTTTGGGTCATTGTCCATTTCCAAGGCCATTTGTGCCTGACATGACTTATTGGCTGATGTTTTGAGGTGTTGCTTCAATATTTTAACATAATGGTCTTTCCTGATGATGCCATCTATTTGTAGAGTGCAGCAATCCCTCTTGCAGCAAAACACCCAGTAATCCTAATTGTTGTAATCTTAACATAACTATAAAAGGAAAGGTTTATACTCTAATTAAATTCAATTCTAAAAAGTTGTGTCTTATGTTTAATGTGTCTTTTTATACACCGTGGGTAAATACCTGGTCTGAACTGTATGACTGACTTAGAAGAAGTTTAAGCTGAAACTTGCTGAGTGATATACATGCAGGATGTTGAGTAGCCAGGAGGGGAAGTTTAATTAATTTGCCTTGCCTGTGCTGGAAATAAATGAAACAACTGAAATAAAGCACAACATCAGAATTAGGGACGACACAATAAACTATGACTTAACCTCATTGCCCAGTCATTTCTTAGCAATTATAATGTGTTGACACACGTGGATGTCAATGTACAGGTTTGGATTAGGAAGTTGGATGGATTGTGGCAATAAGCCAAAAGCAGAGCACTGGGATTTTTCTCTTCTATTTATTTTGCCTTGGACTTATTGAGACAATTTGTATTTATATAGTTTTGCTTTTATATGTTTTTAAACTGTAACAACCACTTTATTAATGTCGGTCAGTCATTTTCTATACCAATTCTTCCAAAGTGGGTCACGGGGAAGCTTGTTCCTATCTCCAGCAGTCTATGGGCAGGAGGCAGGGTACACACTGGACAGGTCGCCAGTCCATCGCAGGACTACTCACAAAACACCATGCACACACTCATTCACACACCTAAGGGCAATTTAGAGAAACCAATTAACCTAACAGTCATATTTTTGGACTGTGGGAGGAAGCCGGAGCACCCAGTGAGAACCCATGTAGCACCTGGAGAACATGCAAACTTCATGCAGAAAGACCCCTGGCCGGGAGTTGAACCCAGGACAAGGCAACAGTAAGGCAACAGTGCTACCAACTGTGCCACCATGCAGCCCACTTTATTAATGTGTTAATGTGAATTCCCACAGATTCAATCAACACAGGCATCAAAAAATAACCACATGGAACAAAAATGGAAATTTATATACAACCAGCAAAACACACTAGTCACATGTTTTAATGATTTATTTAATTGTTTTGTAGTTTTTGATTTGATTTAAACAACATCAACTATTTACTAAGGAAACTCAGGAAAGTGGCACTCACACTACAAAACCGGACATTTTAAGGCACTTCGACAGTCCATGAAGGCTAATTCAGGTCAAATCCTATTAATCAAGTTGTTCCTTGTGTGCTATAAGTGACTTTGTTTGCCAAAGCCTTCTATTAAACCCATGTCAACATCGGATTTAGTAGTAAGTCTGAAAATTGTTTCTTTAATGGGAAACAAAAATAGCAGCAGACAGTGACTTTATTGGGTGAATATGTGACTTACTGGAAACCAGACAGACAGACAGACAGACAGACAGACAGACAGACAGACAGACAGACAGACAGACAGGATTTCATAGTGAAAGGACCCAGGGCTGAAACAATAAGCTGTCTGTTCTAACTAGTTGTGAGTATGACACTGAGACCTGCAAACGCTGTTAGAAATAATCAGATTGCTTCACCTGAGCTTTTTCTACTGAAACGTATGGATATTCAACATATTTCCTCTCATAAATACTGTGATGGAGAGAGTGAAATGTGCTGGTAAACTTTAAAACCTGGAAAGAAAATTCCCAATACTGTTTTCATTGCCTTTTTTTACATTATAGCATCCACACTGATTTTGCAACAAGGCTGAAATAACAACTTATGAAGAGGTAATTTCTGTCACTGCTGTCATGTCATATGTGATCTAACAAAAGTGAGTGTGGCAGTAAAACTGCTTCTGCTCACAATGATGAATGAGGATATATAAAAGAAATACCCTTAAACTGGTTCTCTCAGAACAGGAAAATCAAGCCTTCCTCTTTTTCAAAGTCATATCTGATATAACTTTGTCAAAGCCCCTCTCTCCAGTGACACTCTACAGCTCATTTTGTAGGATCCCAAGGTGTTAGTAGGCCATATGATGTACATATTATTAGGTGCGTAATTTGCGGGGGGGTTAGGGGGGTTATGACACCCCAAGTCAATATGACCCCCCCCCAATATAATAACATCACTCCTATTTACAAATAAATAATGCATAAATAACTTCTTGATTTTCTTTTATTTTCATTTGCCAGCAAAGTAGCATCATTACCTGGTAATGTAACCCTCCTCCTCCTCCCAAAAGCTTGGTATCACCCAACCCACTTTCTCCACCAAGCATTCACCGTTTGCTGTACTTTTGATTCAGTCACTGGTGAGAGTGGTTGTACTCTCAAAAAAAGCTGGTGGACAACGATTTTTCACTTTTGGGCGATCACCTTGTAAAAAGAGCGAAAATCAAAATTAGGTAAATATATATGTATTGTTAAGTTAGTTTTCTCTATGTCGTTCGCACACACCTGTACACGCAGACACACTGAATGGCAGTGCATGTTGACTAGCTCCGTAATACAGTGGTACCCAGGTGCTTTGTTAGACCTGTCACCTGGACCTCTGGGGCTGAAGCTCCAGATGTTTTCAGAACAGCCCCAAATCTTACGAAAGAAGACATTTAGGAGTTTATGTCAGACTTCACATTTTATTAAAAATTTTGAGCAGATTTGTTTCTATTGTGTTCCATAATCACTGAGTCTTAAGGAAAAGAAGACAAAAAGTGGTTATTTGCACACACACAGTCCCGCAACTGCGCAACAACGTGCACAGGCTCAATTTGTCCATTCTGGACAAGTCCAGAACGTCCGTTCGGTCCAGGAACGTCGGCCTGCCTCATTAATCACCAGAAAAGTTACACTAAGCTCATCAAACAGGGCTACAATAGGGGAGACAGCTCATTTCAGAGCAGCTGTGGAGCCAACCAGAGAGAGGGAGCCTGGTGGGTGTGTGCGCTCAGGAACAGGTGGAAGCAGAGTGGCTTAACCCAGACTGAAGTTAGTGTTAAACCCGAGACCTGACTCAGAATGGGCTAATTGTAAGCTATAGCGCTAATCACTGATTCACCCACCAAGACATGAGGTGGAGGTTCACTAATGAGCATCATCAGGGTTATGATAAGGGGCTTTCACCTGAGCTACAGGTGAAGTTAAATGGCCTGGCCATGATGGAAAACAGTAGGAACCCTCTCTGTGAGCTTGTAGCTGGATCTGCATCATGATGTGAAAAATATCTGATCTTTAGTCAAAAGGTTCATGAAAGGAGGAACACATTTTAATGAAATGTTACGATAGCTCACAGTATAATTAAAATAAATAAATGTGTTTTTAGCAGAATTTTTTAGCATCAAGCAAAGCCAGAGAGCTCAGGTGTTACAGGAACAACAATTGGTGTTGTTCCTTAGGACTGCAGCCTCATCTTGCTATGTTGTGCTTTCCAAAGGTAGTCTAAGTTCTGTAAAGGGCACAATAATTATTAATTAAAGGAACTAACCTATTTTTGTTTCTTCTCTTATGAGATCTGTGAGTACACAAATGGAGGAAAAGACTGTCAGACATAAAAAAATATATATCAAAGGTATGATAATTTGGCTAATTTAGTTTCATGGGCTAGCAGCCTGTCCACTGTGATCCCTCTCACCTATTGACTGCTAGAGATAGGTGACAGCCACACCAGGGACCCTGAAAGAATTAAGCGGGTATAGAAAATGGATGAATACATGGATAATTTAGTTGCTGCAGCAGGAGTGTCAGCAGATATGAGATGAACATTTTAAATGGCTATGCTTGATTTGATGGTATTTGTGCCGAATAATTTCGTATTCTTGTCTGAAACCACATTATTATCCCCATTGTGCACACTGCCATTCTTCTAATTTACTATGAGACTCTCATGCAAGATTATTGCCATATCAGTTTTATATAAATCTACCACACAATGCAATTTCGGAGAAAAGGTAAAAACATGAGTTATTCACAAAATTAGTTTGAAATGAAATGAGATGTGGTTTGATCAAGGACACCACAATGTACAACGTATTGTGATACCATCATTCACTAAAAATGAGGAGTGTTAGAAGCAGAAAGGCAGGGTGATCGCCTATTAAAATGCATCAGTGCTATGGGGCTTTGGATTTTTCTGTTCCAGAGAGCATGAATGTGATACCTTTATGTCAGGAAATTATTCACTTCTTTTGTCTGCCTTTTTCTGATTTAAATTGAGGACTGCAACTTTGTTAAAATGTCAAATTATAAAATTATTACAAATGTCAAACTGATCAGTGATCAAAACAATCAGGCCATTTCATCCTGTGTGACTGCTGGTATACGTTACAAAAGGCATTTCTGTGTGACATCAATTTTGAATATCCTTATGTTGTGAAATCCTTTGAACTTTTTTGTTATCACAAAGTTCACATTTTTCATAGAGGCTCTTATAAACCTGTTAGCTTCCTGAGGCAGTTTAGTCAACTGAACTGATTTGGATGGAAATAATAATGGCATCTTAAAAATATTATTTCATGTTTGCAATAAATACATTTAAAAGTTGCAATTTTAATCTTTATACTTTAAGTGAGTTCAGAAAGTAAATTGAACTGCTTTCTCCCTTTTCACCTGCTGATAGAGCTTATGACTTTGTGTTATTTAATCATTCACTCTGACCTTCAAACCAAATTAAATAAAAAACGTTTCTTTCTCATCTTTATTCAGTATATTGCACTCTACCATGTACCATATATTGCACTCTACTGTAAAATGCATCCTTTTGCTGAAATCACAAGGTGCAACTTGCTGAGATTCAGTTATGAGCCACAGGTGTTAGGGTTTGGGTTTTTTGTGTTTGCATTTTGATTATTTTCTTGTTGTTATGTTCTTTGGGTCCTGCCATATTCAATTAATTTCTCTGTGTTCATTATTGTTAGTAGTTGTTTCCATATTAGTTCATTCCTTTGTGTTTAGTTAATTCTTCTTTCTGTTCTTTGTGATTTTGGATTTAAAATATTTCTGTTAAATTATTGTTAATATACACTCACCGGCCACTTTATTAGGTACACATGTCAAACTGCTCGTCAACGCAAATTTCTAATCAGCCAATCACATGGCAGCAACTCAATGCATTTAGGCATGTAGACATGGTCAAGACGATCTGCTGCAGTTCAAACCGAGCATCAGAACGGGGAAGAAAGGTGATTTAAGTGACTTTGAATGTGGCATGGTTGTTGTAGTACTGGTGTCCCCCAGGGGTGTGTTCTATCCCCACTCCTCTTCTCCCTGTACACAAATGACTGCACCTCAGCGGACTCGTCCGTGAAACTCCTTAAGTTTGCAGATGACACCACTGTCATTGGACTGATCCAGGACG